TCACAGAGGCCACCTTTTCTCCTATCTGAGATGTGTCAGGTCCAAAGGAAATTCCATTTCCTCAAATTCCAAAAAGCAGAAGCGATAAATGGCTAAAATCTGTATCGAGGCGTTTTTGGGGACTTCCAGCTCCCAAACAAAGCCCATGGTGTCCAACGTTTGGCAAAGAACCCAAGCTTAAGGTATTAGAAAAAGTCCTGGATGGAAAGAAAGGGAACAAGTACTCCCCGGGAACAGACACAGCCTCCTAGCATAGGACTCTGTGGTGGCAGGCAAGCTGCTCTGTGAACAGAGCAGCTGAAGTCCGGCTGGCCACATGAGCTGAAGTCTGGCTGGCCACATGAGGCTGACACCATGGGCAGCTCCTCTACAGGAGCCTCCAGCAGGAATCAGACTGAGCAGCACCCAGCTGGGTCCTGCCGCCTACACTGCAACCCAAATTCGGGTCTGCGCAGGTGGAGAAAGGGACTGACCAGAGGGAGCAGAGCCAACAGGCAGAGCCATGTGCTAGCTGAGGGGCAGAAAGAGCCTGCACCCCGGAAACATGGGGCGGGGGTGGGGGGTGGGGCGGCTGCCAGCCAGACTAAGAGGAAGTCAGACATATGAAATTGGAAGAGAGGTAACTAACAAGCCATGGGGCAGAATTTAGATCAGTGTAGACGGGATAATTGAGTTACAATCTAGTTGGGAACAAGCCTAGCTTAAGGCCGAAGCATTCATAAATGCGTATAGCTATCTGTGTCATTATTACATCCATTGGTGGTCTGAAAGCATGCCTGTAATACCAGTACTCAGGTAGGCAGAGGCAGGCGAATCTCTGTGAGTTAGAAACCAGCCTGGTCTACAAAGTGGGTGCACGACAGCCAAGGCTACACAAACAAACCCTGTCTCAAAAAACAACAACCAAAATAATAATAATAATAAAATAAAAAAGGAAAGAAAGAAAGAAAGACAAAAATCTGTGGTGTTTATTAACATACCAAAGTGAATTCTGGTCTCTAGGCTTCCTTAGTATTACAAGTACCTTTTACACACTTCAAAGTCCGTACTAGCTCTCCTCACCTCCGTCCCTGGTCTAAACTTCTGTTTTCCCTCCCTCCCGAGCTACTGCTTTTCCTTATATCCCTGGTTTTTGGCTATCCTCACTCCCTTTGATTTCCTCTCTCAGTCTCCTTTCCCCCCTCTCTCTGTTCTTCTAGGCTCTCCCTCTCTGTGTTCTCCTCTCTTTCATCTCTGCTCTGCTCCTGCTTCTCTCTGGCCATGTTCAGTGTACTAATTTCTCTCTCTGCTCTGGACTCTTCCAAATGCCTCAGGCTGTTCACTTTCATAGCTACAATAAAAACCTTCCCATTGACCATATCATGTTGCTGTCACGCCATCAGTTTGTATGCCATAGGCCTTCTTTCTCAAAGTGCACTACGCGCATTGCTAGCCCGAGAGGAGGAAACCGCTGTCTACGAGGATTCCACTTCACACAGTGCCAAGAGCAAAGTAAGCCCTAGCAGCTCACAGTCATGAGAGTAGAGAGCAAGACATAGTAAGATAAATAGTGGTAGTGATACTATAACTGTTGAAGTAGAATGCATGATGGGGGATTCAGGGCTTGCCGGAATAATGCAAGTATCTATAACGACCATAGCGGTATGTTGCAGCTGAATATTTAGAGGTCTGAGCTCTGTATTCAGACCTAGCAATTTTGTATGGCCCCGTAAAATGTGAATAAGCAAGAGCGTCTCTCTTCATAAAGTTGTCCTGTGGAATAAACAAGAAAAATACTTGTGAAAGGTTAGCACAGATCACTATCTATCATGTACTCAATTCCTGTTAGTAATGTAGGAGTGAGGTGGCGGCTTAGGCAAAGGACTCAGTCCCACAATGGGTTAAAACCAAAGGGCACAGTGATTTTTGTCACCCGAGGCCCCATGCCACTTAATAATTCTGTAGGAGAGGCATTTTAATTTCACCCAAAGAACTGGGGTTCCTTTCATTCCTCCACATCTTCAGATTCCGAATCTATGGCTGCAAATGAGCATCTCTGTGTGTGTGTGTGGGGGGGGGGTAGTGGTGGCAGTTACTGTAGTTATTAACAGCCCTTGGGCACAAACATTTCTCTCCTGGGACTTTTGATAATGAGTCTTGCCTAAAAATTGGAGAGGTGAAATAAAAGCCTTTTCAATCTTATTTAAGTTTCTCCAACATTCTAACATGCCAAGCAGGGCACTCACTACTGGACACGTGACGATAGGCAGTGTGCTCACTGTGGGGCACAGAAACTCTGGCAGAGGAAGTATACTTAACTAAATAATTATTGACAATTACAACTGGTAATGGGAGCTTACACAGAGCTCTGGGAAGTCAGCTGATGGCAAATGAGCTCGTGCTGAGGACAAGAAGGAGGTTAGCCTAGAGGAAAGACGGACAGCCACTGGACTGCTGAGGGAACTGTGGGTGGAGAGGGATGTAGTCAGAAGGGAGATGATGAAGCCTAACTACAGCAGAGATGGGAAGAGTAGAAAGGGAAGCAGGGTTAAGGTTATGTAACTTTAGGGGGAAATGCAGCTAAATTAAGCTTGTCTAAAAAGGGTACTACCTTCCCCCCCACAAAGTAAAACCTCATTAGTGTAACATAATTGGATAGAAGCATGTCAAAATTCATCAAAACGAATTACAGATTTGAGAAAAAATATGACTAAGTGCTTAGATATTTTTGACTAGTTGAGACAGTTCAAGTAACTTTTAACTTCCCTACTCTTACTTAGCAGCACCTGTGTCCCTGCAACAATTAAAGCAAGGATCTTTATCTTTAATACTTTTTTTTAAAATCTTGAGATAATATAATTACATTTGCCCCTTTCTTTTCCTCCCTCCAAACCCTTTCACATATACCCTCCCCTTGTTCTCTTTTAAATTCATGGCCACTTTTTCAGTTTGTGTGTGTGTGTGTGTGTGTGTGTGTGTGTGTGTGTGTGTTTTCTAAAGCTTGGGAAACATTGCAAAAGAGGAGATAGATTACAAGAACCCTAGGGTCAGGATGTTTACTGTGAGATTGAGTCTCTTAGAAATGCCAAAAGCTACACTCTAGAAGGCTCACCAATATTTCGACCTAAACAGGACCTGAACAAGGATGTCACCAATTGAAATGCTATTGTGCTGGTGGCAGGGGCTCATAAAGCATCAAACCTAGACAAAGAACTACAAGCAACTAAAGAATGCTGAGAGTAAGAGAAATAGTCTTTACCAGGATCAAGAGCACATTGATTGGTTATCTAACACCAAATCATCAGCCCGGAAAACACAAAGTGAGATTCTTAAAAGTGATTTTTTTTTTTTCTGAAGCGAATTAACCTTTTTTTCTGCTTTTACTCACACCTGTGTGCTTAGACTAAGAAGCCATTTCTGTGGCTTCAGGCTGATTATCTAGATAAGTGGGCTCAACAGCCTATAAAATCTTTCAGGTGAGGAGGAGGACTGACTAGCTCCCATCCCGAGTTCTCAAACTAACTGATGTAACCCATTTACAGTATCGACACAGAAAGTCTCAAGTTTTGTAGCAAAGAGGCTGAAGCCCCGTATCTGCTACCATTCTGAGGCCAGCCTGGGCTACACTGTTAAGTCCTGCATCAAAAACCAGCAACTAGACAAAAATATAAAATGAAATAAAAATAAGAAAGCTACATGCTTCCAGTTACAGAGAGAAATCAACCACACTTTCCAGATTCTCAAGATTTTTAGGATGACCTTATTGTTTATTTTTTTAAAACTTCTGTTAGTACTGCAATGATAAATTTTAGTTCAGTCTTAGAGAAAACCAGCTAAACATTCCCTTCAGGGTAGGGATACTCTCTACTAAGTATTAAGTTTTTAAGTCCTTAATTATCAGTTTGTCTAAAACTCACAGTAACTCACTGCACTGTTTATTCTCCAAATATTTGCACAGTTTTAACATGATAATCTTCATGAGTCATGAAGAAATTATTTTCTATGGAAAGTACTAGATTTGATTTTCACAACCACATGGGGCAGAAAGTGGGGGAAAAAAAGAATTTCCATAATTCTGATAGTACCTATAGAATTGCTGTAGGTCATTTGCTCCCGTAAGTGTTCATAAAGGGTTAGCAGCTATCAGAAGAGTCAGTATCTTAACTTTTATAAATACCCCTAATTATACAAAGTATCCATAGTCATTGCAAGTTTGAGCAGGAATGATCTCTGAAACCCCAGGAAGGAAATGATTTCACCAGAAGACAGTCTCATTGCTCTCAGTACAGCTGCATTCCTCTTCCGGTAGCTGGGAAGACCATCAGCACCTTTAGGATTTGATTTCTATTCCACTCAATTCATCGTACTAGAAAACCGGGTACCTTAAGTCAGATTCTGTTCAGCAGGAATCTCCTGTAATCTGCCAAAGATCAAGAGCATCAAGTTCCAGTCAACCCAAACAGCCTGTGTCAGCTCAAAGATACCATTCTACTGTCATAAATTCTGCTTTCTTTCCCTCCACTTTACTCTTCTCTCTGCCAAGCCTAGCTCCCGGCCCCCTGGGTAGTGGGTAGCATTGGCAGTTTGATCCTCAACGAACCTTTCTACCCACCCGTGGAACAGTCTGTCCAGTGGTTTTATTGTGCCCTTGCTCACAGCTAACTTTATGGTTCAGTGGGCAAGAGCCCTTGCCACCAAGCTTGATGACCTGAGGTCAAACCCTGGGACTCACAGAAAGACCCACTCCTCCCAGCTGTCCCCTGACCTCCACATGTGGCCATGAAATGCACATATGCACATTCCACACCACAGACACACACACATACACACACACACACACACACACACGCACACACAAATAAGCACAATAAAAATCACTGTGATTTTTATCTATCTTTTCACACACTCTTTCTGGAGGTAATTATCTGGATGAGCAAGGGTGGCGCTAGAAGAGTGAGACTGGAGAATGTCAGCCCCTCTCTCTATGGAGAGAGCTTACAGTGCTCACAGTGGCTACACACCTGTACCTATTGTGCTCAATGGGATGATGGCACTAAGGGATCAAAGATAAGCACTTGGTAAAAAAGTTTTCACCAGCCCTGAAGTGCATAAAGCCATTATAAGCTAAGGAGCAAGAGCGTGGGCAGATGAAAAAGAGAAAAGTTCTTTCTCCTGTTCTTTAGAAATGCAAATAGAATTTTGCTTAAACGTCACTAGCTGGCTGATAAAGTGGTAATCACTTAACAGTATTTATTAGGAAACCTGTTCTCATTCCTTACTTTAAAAAAAAAAGTCTTAAATTGAACAAAACCTATTTGTTAAATGGAAATAAAACTAAGTATCAAGGTGAAAACACATGTCATAGTTCTGACTACTGTTTCCCAAGTTTAAGTGATAAAGTTATGTAGTGGAAGTTTTGGTTATGTTATATAAATATGTTTTTGTGGATTTGCGCATTCCAAGTGTGGGACGCGTGAATCCACAGCTGATCATAGCCTCCTGAAAGGCCTGTGATCTTTGTCAGCTGATAAACAGCCTAGTGATGTTGTCTGGGACCCTTTTATCAGATTTAGTTATGGTTATGTAACATTTGAATCTAAATCTATACACACATAGGAGATCATTTGTCTTTGGATATTTGTAGTTAATTTGAAATAAGTAGTGGTTTGGGAAGCAAAGACTTGGACTTGAGTCTTGGCTAAATCACTCACTGTGTGTTTGTGTGTGTATGTGAACTGTGGTATTAGGAAAAGTCCCTCACTCTTTTTTATTTCTTTGGTGTTCTTCTGTGGAACTACAAGCTATAAATAAAACCCTAACAATTAAAATAATTCTCAGCATCAGTTATGTGTTTTGTGTGTAATTGTGTGTGTGTGTGTGTGTGTGTGTATTTGTGTGGGTACATGTGTGAGTAAGGTTTAAATCTTTATTTTAATTATGCCACGTGACAGTTTGGTGCACACGGACAGTATGCAGTGACCAGACAAGCTTAGTTAGCATTTCCCTTTCATTGTTCTTTCATAACATTTCATTATCTTATAATAAATATGTATCTATGCCTGTCATGCACAAAGCTATAATAGCATTGAACAATGACATTTTGTGGGACACAGTGTGATATTTCAAGTTATATGTTTCTTGAATCTCATAACATCTTGTTCTTGCAAAGGACAAAATGACCTAACCTGTTAGAAATGACCTCTGGACTATATCCCTTCAATACAGACCATACTTTAATCCCATTAAGTCCAGAGGTGAGTTTTTCTGGGTAGAAGGTGAGGATAATATAGATATTGAAAAGTTTTGGGGGAAATTAGACATTGCCTCTACCTCCTCAAGCTCTTCCACTGATTTATGGAAGGTCATAAGAAACTATCTAAAAAAAAAAAAAAAAAACCACTGGAATATGAGATTTCAAGTAAAGATTGGCAAGAGCTAGCAGGTTCTTTCAAAAGAACCTAGGAAGGATAATAAGACGTAAAGAGACCATTTCTGCAGCTAAGTGAAAGGTAGACCAGAAAGATGATTGTGAATGATGACTTGAAGTGATGTGGATTTTTCTTAGCTAAAACATCACACCCCCCCCCCTCACCTAAGACTCAGGGAACATCACAGAAGAGGGGGAAATGGATTTTAAGAGCCAAAGGGCCTGGATGTCTGCTGTGAGACTGTGCCTTTCATATATGACAGGGAAGCTGCACCTATGAAATCTCAACCATATGTTTGCCTAAACAAAACCTGAATAATGACACCAGTTGACGCGCCAACACAGATGGAGAAAATCTCACAAGTCCCCACTCCTGGATGAAGAGCTACAGGCAATTAATGACTGCCCAGAGAGATGAAATTGATCTTCCTGAAGGATAAGCCCTCTACTTGGTTACTTGGGTAGCAAATGATCAGCCTTAAAAATATACATATGAGGAGGAGTAAACCGACTCAGTACGGTATATATGTATTCATATATATGTAACAATGATAATTGAACAAGATGAGCTCATGAATTTGAAATGGAATGGGGAGACATTCGAGGTGCTAGAGGGAGAAAGGGGAAGGGAAGAAATGATGTAAAGACCATATACATATATGAGATTTCAAAAATAATTTAAAATAATTTTCTGTTTTGTCAGAGTCAAGGTACACCCTTAAGACATAAGGCAACTGGCCATTCAGCAACCGCAGTCAAAGTCTGCTGTGGTGGGACATGAAGCACCAGAGGCTACAAGAACTCAGCTGGCCAGCCAGACAAAATCCAAGATATTTAAAGGCTCCACCTGTTAGTAATAATTCAGTTCCCTATAGCAAGTCACACGGTAAGCTTGGCAAGGGCCTTTCTATGGTCAAGGAGGCTGAGATTTAGATGGAAATGTGACCATCATCCCAGACAACCTCAGACCCTGCAGGGCCATGCTCCAGAAGGAGCCCAGGTCTCCCAACGAAAAGCTACTCCTGTACTATGCCTGTCTTTCATACCTTCATTTCAATCAGAGAAGCCTGGATTATTGGAAACTTAATTTGCTGAGACTTCCTTCTCTGTTGGTTTATGGTTATGTTTTCCTGTACAAGAAGTTAAAAATGGGAGACAAGATGGTGACAGAGAATAAAGATGGTTTCTGAAGCAAGAACTGGTGTGGCAGCAGCGCCTGCAGAGGATCCATGGCACTGATGAGGACAATGAAGCTTCCTGGTTGCTGGCCCACATCCTCTTCCGACTTTTTCAGACAGCCTTGCGATTAAGTTCCTGAATGAAAGCTCCATTTTCTTGAAAAATATACAACAGTTTCCATTATATTGTTTACATATAAATGAGAGATGGCCATATTGAATACACTATAAAGCTAGGAGTCAAGCATTCATGGGAGTTTATGGTAGGTCCTCTAATTCCCGGATAAGAATGTGCTCAGGTTCATGTATGCCTCACAGTAAAGTAGAAATGGTGTTGGATAGTACATCGAAGCCCAGTGCATTCATTCCCAATAAATCAATATTAATGGCAGTATTGAAGATTTTCAGTCCTATTTCAAAGCCTTAGTTTCCATACCAGAGAATATAATTACAGGCAAATATTCAAAAAAGTCAGAAAATTATGAGTAAGGTCATTCAGTTCAGTAGGAAGTGAATTTAAGCAATCAAAAGATCATGTGATTTCTGTGATGATCCTGAACAAAGCTTATACCGTGTATCCCAAGCATTCCATGTCCAAGATAAAAGAACTTATGCTTATAATAGTCTCATAAGCCCCAGTTTCAAAACTGGTGGATTGAGAAACAAAATAGCCTGTTCGGGGTCAGGCAAGCAGCCAGAGGAAAGGCAAGAATTGAACACACTTGTGGGTTGTTTCTGCGATCCACAAGGCTCCAGCTGCTGCCCTGCTCTGCTGGGTGAGCTGCTGTAGAAGCTCTCTGATGACCCCTGTAGGCAGAGGTGTGCTCGCTGAAGGCTACAGCCAGTCAACTGACATGCACATCGTTGCCCTGCTGGTGACCTGTGACATGTCACGCTTCTGGTCCCCCTAGGATGCTATTAGGCACAGAGATATTCAATGCTGGGTGCGCTTCAGCTCAAATGCACTGTGCCCCCGATCTAATCAAAAGAATTAGTGAAAAAAAAAAATCACCACTTTGTCATCTGGGCTGTTAGCTGAGTGTGATTCCCATTTACATCTCTAAAGAAACGTAAAAATAACTCCTTTGAAGCTATACCCACTCACTCTCTCCTTATTTGCTAACGAATGTCACAATTTCAGAGCCCAAGGAGAGATTTCCTGTAATCCCAGCCTTAAGACTGCACCTGTTCCCAACTCCAATTGCCAGGTTACAAACATGAGCTAACCCCAGTTCCAAATTGAATCCATATTGCTAAGTCTCTGGAGAGGGCAATTTATATCTGTGAATTACTTCAAGACTTCAAAATAGTTAGCATTAAAAATTCTAACTTCATCCCAGATTTTTTTAAGACCTAAGATGTTTTGTCACCAGTACTAATAAGCAAGTCAAAAACCAGCCTCTCTATTAAATCAATTGTTACCCTTTTTTCTTTTGTAAGTTTGGATAATTTTACCACATTTTTCTAGTCACACTAATATCTAAAGTAACAGATTGTAACTGAGCACACTGTGACATTATGGCAACTGGGTAACTAACACAAACTCAGCCACTTACCTTTGTTATGGTTTTTAATTAATGTCATATGTTGCATACAGCCAAATATGTTTTTCTATCAAGATGATGTGTTTTATTTTTAAAGTGTTCAACTTTTGGTCTTTCTTTCTCTCGTACTTCTTTAAATCAGCTTACAGAGATGCAGATGCATTATAAAGAAAGCAAATGAAGCCAAACAGACAAAAAGAAGTTGGTAGATAAGCTAAATGCACATCAGAGCCCCAACACCTACCATCGTTGCTCTTCCTGACTGTAAATTTGGCATTTAGTTTTTAGAACCGTAGCAAAAAAAAAAAAAAAAAGGAGATGGCTACCTTTTACTGTATAAGAAGCTTTGTTGCTTGCTAATAAGAAACATTAATAAGAGAACACAGAACCGTTCTGCAGAGAAGAAACAGAATCCCAGATGAGGATGCTCTTATTGAAGAAGGAAGAAGCCCCAGTGACTTCAGTGGCAGCAGAGAGGGAACTTCAGAGCGCCCAGCAGGGAAAGAGATGAATCCAGGGTGGCAAGAAACTACCAATACAAGGAGGCTAACTATAAAGAAAGACTGCTTTTACTCAAAGTCTGGGCTCAAGACAATGCCAAGGATTTCTTCCACCTATTTGATGCTGCCCTGAACCGTGTACTTTTTTCCTGTGACCTAAATATTCACAGGAAAAAAAATTCATTGAAAGCAGACACCTTTTTTTTTTATTAATCACACTTTATTCATTTTGTATCCCCCCATAAGCCCCTCCCTCCTCCCCTCCCGATCCCACCCTCCCTCCCCTTTCTGCATGCATGCCACTCCCCAAGTCCACTGATAGGGGAGGTTCTCCTCTTCTTTCTGATCTTAGTCTATCAGTTCTCATCAAAAGTGGCTGCATTGTCCTCTAATGTGGCCTGGTAAGGCTGCTCCCCCCTCAGGGGGGAGTGATCAAAGAGCAGGCCAATCAGATTATGTCAGAGGCAGTCCCTCTTCCCATTACTATGTAACCCACTTGGACACTGAACTGCCATGGGCTACACCTGTGCAGGGGTTCCAGGTCATCTCCACGAATAGTCCTTGGTTGGAGTATGATTTTCTGGGAAGTTCCCTGTGTTCAAATTAGAAAGCAGACACCTTTTTACCTGCAATTAGCAACAGGAAGAAAAGAATAGAGACCTAGCTTGCTTTCAGGTGTCACACCTGAGCCAAAGAAAACCACATGTCAGTGGAAGCACATGCAGTTATACAAATAGTGAGTTTAGGCTGTCTCTTAAGTGAAGGAGCAAGCCTTTACGGATGCATTGAGTAGCTCCCAGTCTTGCAGAAAAGAAAGAACCAGTGGGTTACTCTCCCTAACAATAAGAAGGTTTGGGAAGAGCAGCTGCTACAAAATTAGAGATAAGTGTTTCCTTTTTATCCAATCCTCCCCAGAAAAGAATACAGATGTCTACCAGAGTGCCAAAAAAGAAACTCAGGGGCCAAACACTTCTAGAATTCCGTGGGTGTCAGATTGTTTGGAAAAAGTTGTCAGTTTACTATGAAACTTAGGAGACACTAGTTATCCTAGGAAGAACCTGTCAGCTTTCCATTTCCAGATAGACCCTGAGTGACCTACCATGGTAGGTGGTCACTACCGTCCTTGCTCTTGGAGTTGGAGAGCTTTCGAGAGAAAGTTTTTACATTGCAATTCGTATCTGTACAAACAAGATCTAGTGCAATTTTTTTCTTACTCTTATAACACACAAAGAACATGGCCCACTGTACATCTCACTATCAGGGTTCTTCTTCCATTCCTGACACCTTTGTCTATTTTTAAACATGGCTCTCTAACATTTTGGTCATAACTTTTTAAGCTTCATAATAGCTGGTCCCAAGTTACCTCTGATTGTATTTGCCAGGATTAGTTCCTGATGCTTCTAGCCAAAAACTCTGACAGGTAGATAATAGCAAGGACCAAGCTATAGGAGCAAATTCAGTTTGATGAAGACATGAACAAAAGCTGAAGTGGCCAATATGCTTTAACAATTTATATAGCCTAGATTCAAAGATTTCTTTTTCTCTTCATGTTTTGGGAGACTTGATTAGAATACCTCAATCTTATAGGCCATGAAAGTGAAAATTATGAAATTTCCAATATGTTCATGTCTCGCACTACTTTGTTCCTTTCAGTATCCATTATTGAATATTCATTTTTCCCAAACCATATTTCCATATTTACTCAGACAGAAATGTCATCTCAGCTAACTCTATAACTTACACACACACACACACAAACACATACCACTATGCTGTATGTGTGTATGACATATTAGTGGTGATATAGTATATACATACATATACATATAAAACTAATCTCAGTGTCTGTTATAGCTGCTGGACCATTGGTTGCCAGGTCCCTTCCCGTCCAAGCTGAGCCACTTCTCTTCCTAATGTTCTAACTTTTTCTTTTTCCTCATTAGTTTTTCTCTGTCTACAGAGTAAATAAAAGAATTCCTGTCTTAGGCCAGAAACGTAGAGCTTTCACTTTTCACCTCATTATATGTTTATTTTCCGTGTGAAGACAGCGACTGAAAAGAAGAACCTCTGATCTCTGTCCCCAAAGTGGTAAAATCTACTCCATCTATCTACACCTAGAACATTCTGGGATACTGTCATTTGTACAGAACCATTGTGGTTACTTACATTGATTTATTAATAATTGTTTCTGGCTTTCACTTTTCTTTACATTAGCTCACTTTCAAATTTAAATATATTTACATAAAAATTTATTTCACTTAATAAGTGACAAAATGATATCACTTTCCATGATAATAAAAAGTTTTTGGTATACCACCTAAATTTGTTGTGAATTACTAATGATGTAGGCATCATAATTTGGCAAATGTAAGTCAAGAAATCTTTTCTTTTTTAATGGACACTCAGAGGCTGTACTGAGCAGGAAATGAATAGAAAGTCCATGGCATTTGCCTGTTACTAATATTGTGGGTAGAGAGCGGGAGTGGGTAAGGATGAACATATGATGACAGGATCTGGTTAGAAAATGGAGGGAACAGTCCACAGACAACATTCTGGGGTGTGATATCATCTTAAATCCCACACCATTGTTCCACAGTATCCCAGGAGAACAGCTAATGTTCACTTAACAAAATCATATTTTGCCATCGAAAACTAACACTGCTATAAATAAATGTCTAAATGCTAGCAAGTGAGGGATCTCACTGTCTGAATTATCACCCTCAGAGGAGCATTTTAACCAACTGACCCAGTTTGAGCCAACATTTAAAACTTAAAGGCTGTTTTGTAATGGTGCACCAAAATCACTTTGTTTTTTCTGGTGAAAAAAATGAAAACTGAGGTTCCCTGGATTCCACTGTTTTCTCTGTATAAATAATCTCACAAGCTTTGAGAGAAGACTAAAACATATGACAGTTGGCTTGAAATTCTACATGAAGTCTTAGAACTGCACCAAGTTGTTTAGTATTGGGTAAGTAACCAAATCCACAATGTCTTCTACTGAAATCATAAAATGTTTTATTGAGCAATAGTTCCTTTTTGTATCTAGGTGTAATAGAACACAATGACACTTGAAATATGTGTTTTACCTCGAACTAGCTGACCAACAGCTCTTTATTCAAACCCCCCCGGGTGCCAGGGATTCTGCATTGTATTGTGAGACACGCTCTGTGCTTTCCGGGATCCTCAGGTGGATGATAGTAAAACTTCAGCACTCCAGTCAGACCAAGCTAGCACTCCTGTCAAGCCACCACAGTCTCTACCACATCAGACCAGACCACAGATCCACAGTTTATGCCTGGAATATACCTTCCCACCAGTCTCGTGTGAAAGAAAAAAAAAGCCTCCTGTGATTTCACAAGGCATGTGACTTTAGGACGTCTTCCAACTATAGTCACCTGTGGATAAATCTCAGCCTCGATTACTACAAAAGCAGATCACTTCAGCCTTCTTGACCAGCTTCCCTTGCTCTGTTTGCTAATGCCAAATAAATCAGAACAAGCCTCTAGGAGAAATATCCCATCCCCAGGGTTAAAGAAAATTACAAGAACAACACCAAAACTATTTAGATTAATAAAGCGCCACGCCGTATACTAACATCTGGCATCACATAACCATGAGCTGATGCCCTGCCTGAAAACAGAAGTGGGAAAATAAGGATCTTTTGGACAAAGCTACTTGGATTTACATCTGAAGTTTAGACAGACAGATAATCCTCAGCTACATGATTTCCATTCAAATGTATCCTTTTTCTTATTCCAGAAATGAATATCTATCTTTAAGTGGAATCTATTAGTTCATAGAGCTAGAAACACTAACAGCTGGGTTTTTATCACTTAAGCACAGTAATAAAGCACTAATAACCAAACAAAATACCGCTGAAGCAACAGCTAAGAAAATCCATTTTTGCTTTGTAATTTCACTACAACCAATTTGCAGAGGCTGTCTATCACAAACTCCCACAGCCAGCAACACAATAGATCCAGAAATGTAGCATACCTCACATTGGCATCAAGTTTGTCCATTACAGGAAATGGGCATGAGTACGATGGATTTCAGTGCCCACAGGATCCTGCAAGAAAAAATGAGACATTAGGCAGGAAGGTAACACGGAAATATAAAAGTCTTTGTTACAGGAAAAAAAAAAATGCCAAATGCATATTGCTTCCTACTGATTGGAATTTTTGTATTGCAGAACTATTTAATAGCCAGTACTATATCAAAGATCTATACCACACTGAGGTTGGATGCATGAGGCACATTTTGCTGAGTGCCACAGAAAAAAATCTGTTTCACTGATCTCCTGGTATGAAAACATATAGATACTTTTCTTAACATTAATCCATTTACTTGTTTCTCTTCATTCTTCCCAGAAACATAGTTTACTTCTATGGTCTCCCTTACGACACTAGCTGGTGAAGATAGATAGCGATACTGCTAGAATTAAAACAGTCTAATGGTCTAATGTGGTATATTCTTACCTATGAGGGTTTTCAGGTTTGTTTTGTTTTTGTGTTTGCTTTTTTACAAACATCACAAATTT